CTCTCTCTCTCTCTCTCTCTCTCTCTCTCTCTCTCTCTCTCTCTCTCGGTGTATATGATGGATCCAAGACAGCATCGGCATAGTGGCTGTGAGGAGGGAGAGTGAGAAATCCCAGGCTTTCAGTATGGGATTGAAGAACAGCTGATGGAGTCTGAAGGGAGACTGGTGGCCAGAGGACTCCCTCAGCAGATCTGAGGGGACAAAGACCCAGCATCTGCAGAAGTCAATAATTCTAAAAAACCATTTTACCTAGATTCATGTGTATGAACAATGGTTTTGTCATATATATGTATATGTACACACACACACCTTATAAATACCTGGTGTCTGTGGAGGTCAGAGGAGGATGTCAAATGCCCAGGAACTGGAGTTGCAGATGGTTGTGAGCCACCATGTGAGTCCTCTAGAGTCTAGAACAATTACTCTAACCTGCTGAGTTATCTCTCCAGCCCTCAGCCAATAATTCTAAAAGTAATCTTTAGTATTACAGTTAAAAACATAGAATCTGTCTAGTTTATTGTTACACAATGTAAAAAGCAGACACTTTTTAAAATTAATCTGATAGTGGGCAGGTTGAACCTAGAACTTTACACATGCTAGGCAGGCACTCTACCTCGGGGCTACACTTTGAACCACATATTTGAGAGTATTTTATTAGAGACAGGGGAGAGGCTAAGGGCAGGGGGGCTATTCATATATTATTAGTTGTAAAGAGTGGTTCCTTCAAGGGCAGTCCTTTAATCACAACACTGCAGAGGCAGGCAGATCTTTCTTTGTTGTTGTTTTGTTTTGTTTTGGTTTGGTTTGGTTTTTTGAGACAGGGTTTCTCTGTATACCCCGGGCTGTCCTGGAACTCACTCTGTAGACCAGGCTGGCCTCCAACTCAGAAATCCGCCCAGGCAGATCTTTCTGAGCCCTAGGACTGTCAGGGCTGAATAGTGAAACCCTGTCTCCAAAAAAGAAAAAAAAAAGTGTTTAGTAAGGGTTTAATCCCAGCACTACGGAAAGTGGAGGCAGGAAACCTAGGGATATGTAATCACGTACATAGGGAATTTGAGGCCGCCTTGGACTAAATAAGATCCCAGCTAATCAAAACAAAAACCTGAAAACTCATACCTTATGAAAGTAAATGAGGGCAGATGTGGTAGCATGTATCTCTAATTGCAGAATCTAGGAGGTACTGTAAAGGCAGTAGTTAAAGCTGTCCGCGGTTATATATATATTGGTACTTTGTCTCAAAACAGCATAAGGAAGAATGAGCTCAGGTTCAGTTCACTGATGGAGCTAGCCTGCCGCCCTGTCTGCCACCTCTCCCAAGTCATCCCTCACGAGCTTCCATTCTTGCTCCAGGCGCTGGGGTCGTGGTTCAACAGGTGTATAACAGAGCTGCACACCTGGAAAGGATAAAGACACTGGGAGATGATCTCTGAGACGAAGGAGACTTGAGGCAGGACACGAGCTAAATTGGGGCCTCACATTCCTAGACGTTAATTAACATTAAGGCCTAGTCCATTCTGGCTGACTCTTCCCTCACAGCCCATGGAGCTGACAGCATTCCCAGGAAGGCCCTAGGTCGGTGGAGGTGAGGGTGAAGAATCCCGGTTACCTGCAGAGCTCTGCCGTGTCACTCTCCTGTTGCACAGCATATAGACCATGGCTGCTATGAGGAAGAAGACAATGGCCAGGAGGGACAGCACTGGTACCAAGGCTCGTGTGCCCGCTCCTGGTTCTTTTTGCTGTTTGTCATCTTGCTGTTTGTCTTTAGCCTCAGGCCCAGCTTCCAGACCATAGCCTAAAGGAAGAATGGTCGTTTCCCTGTGTTGGGTGAGCTGTTTGTTCAAGGACAGTGCTCCCGATGGAAGAGTGGACTGCTGGGTGCTCTGAATCGGTGCAGGGGTGCTTGTGCCTGCAAGTGTCCCCTCTGTGGCCTCAGGGATCCCGATACTGGCTTGAGGCAAATGTTTTTGGTGGTGGAAACTCTTCTCATGATCAGTTCCACACTCTGGAGAGAAAACAAAAGATCAGTTACTAGAACAGCTGTAAAAATATCTTCCTCACATGTCTTCAAGGTATGGCTATCACACACACGCACACACAGACATAGGCACACACCCCACCACCCCTCCAACTCCCAAGGAAAAAAAAGGCAGATTAACAAGAGAATTCAAAGTTTTATGGGACACAGGAACCTTCAGAATAAAGTACAGGGAGAGTTCTATTATGCTTAGACTGGATTAGGGATGGAGGACAGTTGTGTAGAAGTATGAGTGGACATAAGGGATCTGATTAGTGTGGAGATGAACAAGGGAAGGCATTGGGAGGTAACATGTTTTAAATCTCCAGTCCCCCAACTCCACCCCAGGGTAAAGCAGGGAGGGGACCAGTGAGGCTTTGTCAGATTCTTTTTGGCCTCCTTGTCCTAGCCAGGACTTCGATCACGTTTTTATTATGCTCCTGTTTCAGGTGATGTCATAGAATTCCTTTATGGTCAGCTGTCACAGAGAAAGGTAAAGGAAAGTCAGAGTGATTAGCTTTGTTTGGTCTCCCAACTGCTAAAATTCTCTATTTGGGTATCATGTTCTGACCCCAGCAGAGGGAAGGGGATGGGTAGCATCCAGGAGACAGTTGAACAGCTGTGTATACAGCTCAGTGGCAGAGTTCTTGCCTAGCATCTATGAGGTGAGGCCCCAGTATTGTGCAAAAAGAGTTTGGGGCAGAGCAGCTGAAGGCTAGGGAAGGAAGACAGTGGCAGAGGGACAGACAGGGACAAGGAAAGTCACAAACCATCAGATGCAGTCACAAAGGCAAGCAGGTATGCTATACTGCCTAGGACTCCAGATGTACTTTACCCCTCATCTACAGCCTTCTGGGACTCTGTTCAGAGTAAAAGGCCCAGGGTATCTGAGAGGGTTGAAGAAAACAATGTAGTCTCTGTAGCCTGAAAGGCAGGGAGTGGGGTACCACTGATACCAGGTGAACTAATGAAGAAACATTTCCCGGTTTTTGTTGTTTTAAGACAGGGTTTCTTTGTGTAGCCTGGCCATCCTAGAACTAGCTCTATAGACCAGGTTAGCCTCCAACTTACAGAGATTGCCCGCCTCTGCCTTGTGAGTGCTGGGACTAAAGGCATGGCATTACCACCCCCTGTACATGTATTTTCTTTCAGAAGAAAAATACAATCTGCACATGAAAGGTGTTACAGCTGAAGGCAAGTTGTTTGAAACCTGGCTTATGTATACTTAAGATTTATTCATTTAATTAATTGTTTGTGTACCTTGAAAGAAAAAAAGAAAATACTGAACTCAGAGCCAGGTGGAGGTAATGCATGCTTTTAATCCCAGCACTTGGGAGGCAGAGGCATTCAGATCTTTGTGAGTTGGAGGCCAGCCTGGTCTCCAGAGTGAGTTCCAGGACAGCTAAGATTTAAACAGAGAAACCCTACCAGGGACTGAGGAGGACCCCCCCCCCAAAAAAAAGCAAAACAAAACAACAACAAAACAAAAATTGTAAATCAAGTGTTATAAAATCTAGGTGATGTGCATAGAAGTTGCCCATTGTAGAATTTTTTTCAACTTTTTGTTTTGTTTTTGAGATAGGGTCTCTGTTCATAGACCTGGCTATCCTGAAACTTGCTCTGTAGACCAGGCTGGCCTCAAATTCACTGAGATCCACCTGCCTCTGCCTCACAGAATGTTGCCATTAAAGGTGTGTGAATTCTTTCAACTTCAACATGTTTATTTTCATTATTAAGTAGTATTAGAAAATGAAAATACTTTAAGTGATTTCAATTAAAATACAGCAGTGAAAGCCAAGCCTATTGGAGAGTCCTGTAATCCCAGCTACTAGAGAGGTTGAGACAGGAGGATAGCAAGTTCAAGACCATCTTGATCAACTTAGCCAGACCCTGTCTAAAAATGTTTAAAAAGCGGAAGACATCTCAGGGGCAGAGTACTTATTTAGCTTGACCAATCTTGAGTATAGTTTATATTATAATAGTGACTTCAAGAAAATATTAAGTCATAGCATATGTAGTAGAACAAATTGTCCAAACCTAGGAAGATGACAGTAAATAATATTGGGAAAACACACACTTAAATGACAGTACTTCAGGGAAAGTTAAAAGATTCTAAATAGGAAAGTGCTGTGTGGCAGAGGCAAAGGAAACTGTAAGATGACAGCCTGCACCCTGCTGGCCCACTGGAGGACAGAAAAGACTCACCTTTATGCTCAAAGCAGTTCACTAGTTCACGGACCCACTGGTCTTGGCTTCTCCCACACACGCTCTTGGACTGCAACTGGAAGCTGCAAAATGATAAATCTAGTCTCCTGGCCACTCCTTCCCTTCCCTACCTTTCCTCATTCCAAAGGTGTGAAGTCACAGAAGGTGAGCCCCGCTAGGGCTGGAAATCCCCAAAGAAGTAAAACTAGAAAGGAACTAGGCTCCCCGACTGACTTGGACTGGGTGTTCAGATCGATAGTCCCCCAACTGCCCTCCCCGGGGAGGGAAAGAGACAGTACCTGATAAAGAACGGACAGCGATGGAATGCTTTCAGGTATTTTCGGATATGATCCAAAGTACCAGGCGGTATCTGGGTGCCAGAAGGAATTGTACGATCACAGGAACAACCTCCAGAGACACTTCCCTGGTTGCCATCGCCTAAATGGAAAAGGGATCAGCCTGAGTTTGCAAACTGAGGAATCTGCCATTGTCCCCAGTCTAATGCCAGACAGACTTTCCCTAGTCACCACTGTAGCCCTCGATAGCTCTGGGCTGAGTTCTTAATCCCTCGGAGTGCCCCTCCGCAGTTTCCATCAAGGGCCCCAGTCCCGCCCCCTGACTAACCTGGCAGGGTCAGCAGCGCCAACAAGAACGCAAGGGGCAAGGGTCCAAAGCCCCGCCTCATCTCAGGCCTCTGCGGAGCTTGAGACGAGGTCACCTAGCCGACATCCAGCCGATTCTCTACAGCTTTCACTTCTTCACCCTGACTGATGTTTTGCGGAGGCTCTGATCCGTGTGCCAAGCTCGGGAGGGGATGGGGCGCGAGGTGGTGGAGCCTTCTGTCCCTCGCGCGCTGTCCCGAACCGACGTCTGGTCAGTACCGGGGAGCCCGCGCTGCGCCCAGCTCCCAGTCGGGGGTGACACACACACCCCTGCCCCCGAAGGCGGAGCTCCTTCACCCGACTCCAGACTCCCAGCCAGCCGTAGGGTCAGCCAAGACTATCTGACAAAAAACGAAAGAAAACTTGAGCTGTAGAGCCAGAAGAATCCGAGTGAGCAAGCAGTGATCCCGGAAGAATGACTCGGTTGGGTTCGGGGATTTCAGCCCTCTTGAGCGGTCATCTGTCTGTCTGCTGGTTTGTAAAGTGGATGACCCTCTAGATCCTTTCTCTGGCTCCAAGATGCTTTCACTTCCCTGGACCACTGGGTCTCAGTAGGATCCAGTCACATGGCCAAGATTAAGCAGTCAAGGAAGTCACCAGGCCTGTGGGACTGCCCAAGCCCTGGCCAGGTACTGCCCGACGCCCTAAGCGTGCCACTCAAGTTATGAGCTGTGGGCACGGCCAGCTCTGACGTCACGACAGTCCTCCAGCACGAGGTATTTACCTTCGAAAAGTGGTGGCGGCTGTAGGTACCGGAGGAGAGGAGCGGCCGGAAAGGGGGTGGGTTTACTGGGGCTCACACCAAACTGATCCAGACCCAAAAGATGCCTCAGTACTTACTTTCACATCTATTTCCCACAGATCAACAGGCCCCCAGATTTCCCCCTTCTCAGAAAGCCTTTCTCCATAGGATTAGCCTTGTCTCATGTCTTCCCTTAATTCAAATCTCACTCAATGATTTGAATCATTGAGTTTTGTGCCCCAGGTACAATTTCATCCCTGAGTACTCCCCTTTAACCCTAAATATCCACTTTCCAATCTAACCTCCCTCCATCCTCATTCCTGCAAATCCTAGTCTCAGCTCCTATACCCCTCTGTAGATCTTACCTCAAACCCACACCCTCCACCCTTTTGTGACCCAGCCCAAAGCCTCACCACTCCCCTGATCCTCACCGTTATCACACATCCCTTTCTGCTCAGTCTGGATCCAGGCCCTGTTGATCTAAAGACATGGAGTTTGTGTCTGGATACCGAGATGAGTTCCTGGATTTCGCTGCTCTTCTCTTTGGCTGGTTCCGAAAGTTTGTGGCAGAGAGGGGGACCATGGGCACCAGCCTTGAGGGCCGATGGCGTCAACTGGAGTCTCAGATAAGGAGGCTGCCTCAGGACCCTGCCCTTTGGGTGCTCCACGTCTTACCAAACCGCAGTGTGGGCATCAGCCTGGGGCAAGGTGGAGAGCCTGGTCCTGGGCCAGGCCTAGGGGCTTCCCGGCTCCTGGGAGATGAGCCTCCTCTTCACCTGAGAGACCTGAGTCCTTATGTCAGTTTTGTCAGCCTAGAGGATGGGGAAGAAGGGGAGGAGGAGGAAGATGAGGAGCATGGAGAGGAGAGAGGAGGCACAGAGAAGGCAGAACCACAGGAGGGTGGGGAGCCAGCCCCTCCAAGCAAGGAATTCCCCCAAGAAGCAAAGCTTGCTCCCGAGTCAGACGTGACCCATCAGGAGGCAAGCTGTGATGAAGGCTGCAGAGAGGAACGTCCAGAGGATGACAGGGTGTCTGAAAAGAGGAAAGGACGGAAGAATGGTAAGAGCCCAGGATGGCCCCAACCTGTCCCCTGTCCACACAGTTTTCTGAAGTCCCCCTATGTCACTCAAAACCCTAAGAGGAGTTGCAAACTGATAACCTTCATGCAAATCTGACGCCAGAAGTTGTTTTCATCTCCCACAGTGTGGTTTTATTTTGTAATTTGAATCAGCATCTAAGCACTGTAAGGGATGAAGGTCCAGAAACATTGCATCTTAAGGAAAATATCCAGGTTCTAGGGCTGGAGAGATGGCTCAGAGGTTAAGAGCACTAACTCTTCCAGAAGATCCAGGTTCAATTCCCAGCGCCCACCTTCTGTAACTCCACTTCCAAAAGGATCCAACACCCTCTTCCTCTTCTGGCCTCTGCGTGCATGTGGTGTACAGACATACAAGTGGAGAAAATACCCATACGTGTAAAATAAAAATAAGTCTAAAAAAAAGAAAAAGCCAGATTTTGATAAGGTTCCTGTATTTCTTACATCTTGGCCCTGCATAGCAGCTGCCCACATTTGCTAGGAAATACCTCTTTTATCTTGTCTTGTCCCTTCTACTCATTGAGGTCACTTGCCTGCACTCTCAAGGCACCTAAATTCACTGTATTTGACTGTGACTACCTGGCCCTTCCTCTCTCCCCCGAATCTCCCATCTTTCCACAGAGGCTGCCCCCCTGCACCTCTCCTGCCTTTTGCTGGTGACAGATGAGCATGGCACCATCTTGGGCATTGATCTGCTGATGGATGGAGCCCAGGGGAGTATAGGCCAGAGCCCAGGGACTGAGAATCTGGCTCCTCAGGCCTATGCTCTCCTGTGTCATAGCATGGCCTGCCCTATGGGCTCTGGGGACCCCCGCAAGCCCCGACAGCTTACCGTCGGAGATGCCCATCTGCATCGGTACAGATATCTAGTATCAGAGGGTAGGAGGGTGTGGGATCTGAACTCCTCAGACCTTTTAGCCTGATGCCTTCATTCCCTTCCAGAGAGCTGGAGAGCCTGGTCCCAAGGCTGGGTGTGAAGTTAGCAAAAACCCCAATGCGAACATGGGGTCCTCGGCCAGGCTTCACTTTTGCCTCCCTTCGGGCTCGAACTTGCCATGTTTGTCACAAGCACAGCTTTGAAGTGAAGTTGACACCCTGGTGAGCACCCACAAGGCTGGAGTCAAACCAAGTAGAAAAGCAAACCAGGCCAGTGGGGGTCCCAGCAGATGGGGGTGGGAGGGTGAGAAAGGGAAGGGAAAAATGAGTTATGGGCAGTTAGTTAAAGGCTCCAATGCAAGGAGGGTAACTGGCATACGGGCAGATGCATAGCCTACAGGACATGAAAACTAATGCTAGGTGCCTCTGGCCCCGTGTCGCCCAGCCCCCAGTGCAGTGCAGTCTTGTACTGTGGAGAGGCTTGTCTCCAGGCTGATTGGCGGCGATGCCCAGATGACGTGAGCCACCGATTTTGGTGCCCAAGGCTTGCAGCTTTCATGGAGCGGGCAGGAGAACTGGCAAGTTTGCCTTTCACCTATACTGCAGGTACCAGAAGAAGGTCAAAGTGGCAAGGAGGGGACCCTGGGAACAGGTCTTTGAGACAGGATCCAGGGCTTGAAGGATACGTGTTTGAAGTCTACATCCCTGGGATACAATCTGGGTGCTGTGTATTTGGGATTAGGGATTGGAAACGGTACCTGAAGCAGAAGAGTAGGTGACAGGGCCCCTGACAGTGGGGATTTGACGGCATCAATTCAAGTGCATGCTGCCCACTATCCAGTCATGTGACCTCAAAGATGTCACCTAAACCAGGCATGGTAGCACATTCATAGCACTTGTGAGGCTAAAGCAGGAAGGCCGTGAGTTCTACGCTACATGAGACCTCGTCTCAAAACCAAGACAAGGCAATAGCTGGCCCAGATGGGAGGGACATACCTGTAATCCCAACACTGTGAATGTGGAGACAGGTGGACTGGGTGTCCAGAGCCATCCTCAGCTACATACTGAATTTAAAGTCAGCCTGTGATACAGGGATGCTGTCTCAAAACAAAAATTCTTTTTCAAACCCAAGTTTCCTTGTCTGCAAAAGAGAATGCTAGCAACTATAAAAATCACACTTAATTATTTCAAGGGGATGGAAGCTCACTGTCCCTGAAACATGGTAGGCACTCAGAAATGAAAATCCCCTCCCTAGAAACACCTGGACCCAAAGTCAGGGTCCTTAGGGTTAGCAGATGACAGGTAAAGCAAGCCCTGGGGCATAGCCACCAAGCCCTCAGGCCTCACCCCATCTCCTGCAGAGGTCACCAGTGAAACCTTTAACAAGGAAGCTTTCCTGGCCTCCCGAGGCCTTACTCGTGGCTATTGGACCCAGCTCAGCATGCTAATCCCAGGACCAGGTGCCCCCACGAACCCCTGGGGCAGCACACCATCCCTCAGCTGCCTTCTCAATGGTATGTGAGGCCTTTTGCCAGGAATGGACTCTTAAGCCTAGAGGGAAGGTTAGGGGATTGAGGGGATAGACCAAGTCCCATATAACCACGTCCTACACACACCAACCCTATACTAACACAATCAGGACTATCTCAAGCCTTTCCAGACTACAGAGGAGTCATTTCTGCCTGATCCATCCAGTAACTCTGTCCCCAGACTAACTCCAATCCTGCTACAGCTGCTGGCCGTCTCCCAGGGTGCATAGCTCTTGTGAGAGGAGCAGGGAGATGAGGCCAGTAGAGGTTTACAGGCCCCTGGGCACTGCTTTTCCTCATCCTCTCAGGTGATCCTTACCAGCTTCTACAGGGAGATGGGCCTGCCTTGATGCCTCCGGTGCCCCTAGACCCACCCAGGAGCCTCTTTGGTGAGCCGGAGGGGTCCTGAAAGAAGTAGGAGCTAGGACAGAGATCCTGGAGGGGGTGGCAGACAAAACCTGGTGCCTGAACAAAGAGGAGTGCTTTAGAGGATGGGGGTCCAGGCCTGGGATCCGGTGGCCCATCAAGACGCTCTCCCCAGGTTCATGGCAGGATTACTACACGTGGCGGGGCCTTAGCCTGGACTCCCCCATGGCTGTGCTTCTCACCTACCCACTGACCGTATACTATGTCATCACTCACCTGGTACCCCAGTCCTGTAAGGAGTGCAGACAGGACTGGAGGGTGTGGGGTGTGGGTGTGGCTGTAAGGGAGCCAATTTTTTTTAATGAGTTCACTTCTTACCAGTCCCTGAGCTCAACATCCAGAACAAGCAGTCCCTGAAGATCCACGTGGTGGAGGCTGGCAAGGAATTCGATCTTGTCATGGTGTTTTGGGTAAGTCCTCACCCTGGAGAGTGTGCATTGAAAAGATGGACGTAGACATAGGGTGGGACCCAGAGCTGACCTTCTCTCTGTCTCTAAGGAGCTCTTGGTCCTTCTCCCCCATGTGGCCCTGGAGCTACAGTTTGTGGGTGACAACCTGCCACCTGAGAGTGACCAGCAGCATTTTACTATGCAGAGGGTGAGAGCAAGAGAGGGGCCTGCTCTTCAGCCCTGCCTCTGGTAGCCTCCCGGTGGGACCCTCTCCTTCCCCTCCACCTTCCTCTATATTTCCTGGTGCTTCCATTATCCAGTGGCTTCCCCATACCTCTCCTGACCCCACAGGATGGCCCTGAGGCGTCTGTGCGTCCTGGTTCTGGAGTATCAGCACGGCTCAGCTCTGGGACTAAGGAGAAGGGAGGTCGAAGGGATCTGCAAATCAGGGTGTCTACCAGGCCCTATCACCTGCTCCAGGGACCCAAGCCTGACCTGGTTATTGGTAAGAGCCTGGCCTCACAAATGGGGATCTGAGAAAGGAGACCCCGGAGGCCAACATCACA